AAAGAACTCAAATGGTTATATAGCTTCATGCATTGATTTAGTCATGATGGACCCATTTGTTGAGGAGTCCAATTGAGATATCATAAGAGGTTAAAGTCAAGAACACAAGTATTTAACCTTTGTTTATCTGTAATTTGGATACTTTCTGAATAACTCCTTATCTGTCCATGCCTCATGATAACTTTCTCCACCAGGTTGCAGAAAAGCACACATTTCCAGCTTCATCTTGCGAACTTTAGCTAGTGAAAAGTACTTATTATGGAAATTCATAGTTAGATCATCCTAGAGCGTGATACTAGCATGTAGCTCAAAATCCAACTATTCAAAAATGCCATCCTTCAATGTGTGTGAAAATAACCAAAGTTTGATTGCATCATCCCATAACTGTTGAAAATGGAAATTTTGACACTTCTGTATAAATCTTGAAATATGGATATTTGAATTTTCATGTGTCTTCCCATAGAACTAAATATTATTGCTGAAAAAATTTATCAGATCCGCTCTCACTTGAAAATCATCTCTCTCAAAGTCGGAACATACAATGCTTGAACTTTACTTTCTCTCAAAGTCGAAATATACAATGCTTGAGCATTCAGGAGCAACCGTTGGAGTAAAAAATTGTGCAATCGGCAAATCTTCTTCATCAATTTTCCCTTTGTCATGTTGCTGAATTTGTTGAGCCACTAATCGAGCTCTTCTACCATAGACACTCTTACAACGTCTCGTGCAGTGTCCAATCTAACTTGTTCATCCGCTAAGTGATTTATTGTTTTTCATTGTATTCTTTGTGTCTTCATCTAAAGTAGGTTCAATCTGATAAGAGTCGAATGGTTCGAGATCGTCGCTTTGTAAACGGAACATAAAATGAACACCTTTTTATCCTATAGAAAAACAAATACAACAAATAAAACAAAACCTAAAAATAATCTACATTATTTTTTAAAAAAAGAAAAAAGAAAAATACCCCGAAAATAGGTCCAAAAACTTCTTGTGTGATAATCACGAATATAAGATGTCAATTAAACAAATAGTAAAGTGGAAATGAAGAGTTCGGATTATCATTCCACGATGATCTATTTAATGATTTACCAAACAATTCCTAGTTCCTATTTAAAAAAAAGTAAATATTGATAGCAAGCTTTGGATTGAAACTTATATTAACTAAGAAAATTAAGTAAAAGAAGGTGTTCTATTTAGATTTTAGCTAACTCTAATTAATCTTTTCATTATGATGGTTAAAGCCTTGTCACTTACGATTTCACCACATTATCGCCTTCGAGTAAATAGTTCTACGTATGAATGGATCATATCAACTTGAAAAATGAAAATATTTGTACAAATACGTTTTGTCATCACTTTGTGGAAAATACTAAAGTTCAATTCCTAAAATTATACTCCATCGAATTTACTAACTAAAATCAATTTACTCTCTCGAGTTCAAATCAATCTTATCTAACTAAATCATTATATAATTAAATCAACTTATTATATCTTTATGTTAATCTAAATAAGTCTCAACTTAACACATTAAATCACCTAGGAATTCAATTGAATACAAGCATTGAGAGAGAAAAAACAATAAATGAAAAATCAACTACAATAATCTTGAGAATTAAATTTAAAGGATCAAATTTAGGTTACATCGATCGTCCAAAATAATGATTTAGTCACGCATCACAAAGAAGAAAAACACAAAAGGATTTTAGAATGCATAACGGAGATAAAAGGAAAAACGAGAAAAGATAAAACCAACAAATTAACTATGATAATCTTGAGAACTAAAATTAAAGTTTAAAATCTAGGTTACTTTTTTCGTCATAACTAATTATTTAGTCACACACTACAAGAAAGAAAAACACAAAAGGATTTTAGAATACATCATTGAGTTAAAAGGCAAAAACGTGAAAAAGATGAACTTCTGACACTAAGAATTTGTATTCTTCACGTCAAGTTCTTAAAACCCGAGCTTTCGTGCGCTCATACTTTTATGTTCCTACTTTGATACTCTTTTGTGTCCCCTCTTTTTTTACCTAAATTAAGTCTCTGTATAATGATTGAACCAGTTTGAAAATCGTTCTTATCTATCACAGATTTTTTACCCAAAAAAATTGATTTGTGTACCGTTACTTTTTAAAAAATGCAACCATTGTTGACTATCTTAGACATAGGTGGGACCCACCGTTTGAAAAAAAAGGGCCATTTTTCTGGTTAAAATCTGCTGAAAATTGCTTAAAACCCCAAACTTAAGAAACAAGAATTGAAAAAACTTAAGAGCAGGCCGCGAATATTTTTCGACTGCAGACTGATTGCAGTAAATAGGTTCTCCATGTGATCGTGAGCCACTTGTACCACCTTTACAACGTTCATATTTTTACACTTTGGTCCATACTTCAAGTTTTTCCGTATGGTTTTGATCCATATCTTCTGTATTGTTCCCGTAACTTTCAAAATCATCTATGATGGTCCCCAAACCATCATAATCATGAAAAACTGGTTCTCCTCATGTTCTGAAAGTGTGTAAAGCAGTCCTCAAACATTTAATAGGTTGAATTTCACTCCCAAAACTTGTGACTTTCTTCCAATTTCTCTTTTAATACTTCGTATCAATCCTAGTACAATTCGATTACTCTTCAATTCTACAAACCAACTTCAATTAAGTTCAAAATCTTCATTTTTGCTCCAAGTACCTCTAGGTCTTATTTTACCTCCAATGATAACATTTACACTAAACAATGAAAAAATTCACTAAATTTCAAATATGATCCAAGTTTTATAAGTACGGAGAAGTGTGTAAATACACTTATTGTTTTTGACATGGGAGGCTTTGCAATTCTTTAAAACAGAGGGAACATCTCTCTAATTTGAT